CGACTTACGACCAATTCAAGTTATGACCAGCTCTGGCTGCAAAATTTTGCTTCAACTTGCGACCGGAGCTTCAAGTTACGATTGGGAAAAAGGTGGGAAATTCAAACTGCTAATCATTGGTGGCGAAGAGGCTGCTACTTTGTAGCTCTTTCGCCCCAGCGGTTAGAGAGTGTGCATTCAGAGGAGGCTTCAGACTGCCTGGTAAGGTGCTGCTTTCTGCTTTTTAAAAACTGCCTGTTCTGGGTGGGTTTTGCAGCATGGTTTTGGGCTTGGGGGGTTATGTTTCTGTGCTGTGATGGGTCTTGCAGGGTTTGTTTGCTTTTTGGGGTTGTTTCCCCTTCTGCCGGAACGGATAAATCGTGTTTCCGATTGGTCTTGCAGGGTTTGTTTGCTTGTTGTCAGGTTTTGTTTTAAAAAAAGTTAGATGGCCATCTCTGATGGATGTTTTTGGTGTGGTCTCCTGCACTGGCAAGCAGCTGGGATGCAGTAGACAACTCGTGGGATCTCTTCCAACTCTCTGGCTCTGTGATTCTGCCTGAGATGGGCCAGCAAATGTCTCCCTGTTTTTCTACTGGCTCACCTTGGGCTAGTCGTTACTTTTCAGTCTAACTTATCTCATAGGGGTTTGTAACGATAAAAATGGGAGGATCATTAGAGGAAGAGCACAATGTAAATGGAATAGAATAAAGCAAAGGTAACATTATGTGCATATGTATGTTTGTATGCACACATATACAGTACATGGGGGCTCCCTGAAAAGTTTTGCCGGATGACTCATCACATGATTTTAAAAAACAAGAAACTTTCAAAATAAAAAGACTAATTGAAACTTCAGAATTTGCTCTTTCAGATAGTATCTCTCTCCCCGCCCCCCATAATCCCTGGACTGCAGTCCATTGTAAAACCAGTCTCGTCATTCAGGTTGGAATGCCAAGTCCAAGTCTCTTTTTAAAATTGTTTTAAAATTATTTTCCAAAACAAATACATCAGTACAAAATACTGACTAACAATCTAAAACCCAGTACACCCCCATACCCACGGGACCCTTTGGAGTAATCATTTTATTGCGAACCTCTTTTCCAAAATTGTATTGATTGTTGCTTAGAGGCTTTCCCCTTTCCTTTCAGTAATACAAATTCAGTAAATCTACCCCAAAGAGCATAAAAAATATTCAATCTTACTTCTCCTCTTTTCATCTTTAGTTCAGTAGTCAATTTGTCATTTAATGCAATGCCCCATACTTTGTTATACCAATCTTCTAATTTGTTATCATGTTTGTCTTTCCAGAATCTAGCTATTAATAATCTAGCACTTGTCATAAAATTAGAAATCAATTCCTTTGAGTAACAATCTAGTTCTACCTTATCAAAAATTGACAGCAAAGCAATTTTTGAGTTAAATTCAATATCTTTTCCAAATATATCACATATTTCCTTAAAAATCAATTTCCAAAATTTTGAATCCCACCACATATGATATGTGCCAATTTCTTCATCACATTTCCAACAGGCCTTAGAATAGTCTGAATTTAGTATGTTCAATTTCACTGGAGTCATGTACCACCTTAAACTAATTTTTTTTTAAAAAATGCTCCTTTATTCTTGCCGACATTCATCTTAGAACTCTCATCTTCCAAATTTTTATCCAATCCTCTGTTCTAATTTCTGTGTTTAAATCATGTTCCCAAATTGATTTTAATCATTCTGTTTCAATGTCATTTTCCTCCTGATCCAAAATTAAGTTATAAATTTTACTTACTTCTCCCTTCTTGAAAGCATCCTTCTGTATGTCTTCATGTAATGATAGAAATTGTTCTTACTTAGTACATTCTCTACATTTGCCATTAATCCTCAACCATTCATTAGTCCATCTGTTTAACTGGATATAATTGTACCATGATAATTTATTAAGTTTGAATCTTAACTATAATCTGATCCTTCGAACTCATTTTAACCATCCAGTCCTTCAGTCTGGCAACTTTTTTTTATCCTTAAACAAATCAACAAAGCCCTTCAAGTGTGCTGAGAAATTTTCTATTTCAGTCACCAATTTTAGTGGTGAAGTAAAAGGACAAAAGTTCTTTTTATATCTGTTCCTCACATTTAGCATGTTTCTTAAAAAGGGGTTATTCACCTGATTTATTATATTTCTTTTTATTGCATTGAACAAGTATTTAAGTCTTACTCTGTGTGGGGGGAAGAAGTGAGAGTTGCAAGTTGTAAGATCAGAGCTATAAGGAGGGTTACGGCCAGGACCAAGCAGCAGTGCATGCCTAGATTTATATATGACAGTCCCTTTGAGTCATGGCATTTGCCAACATATATGACATTCCCTTTGAGTCATGGCATTTGCCAACATATTTTGCACTGCATAATCATGAACTTAAAGAAACAACCTTATGCGTTTGTGCTGAGATGTTAGAAGTGCTGAGATTGGTGGTGCTTACCTCTGTACATTAGGGATTCTTGCCTTATGGCATGATCCTACCACCAGCATATCCATTTAATTCTGCCAATAAAGGGAACTCTTTACTGAGAAAAGCCCAGTTTTTCTAGAAGAGCACTTGGTCTTTATTCCTAGGAAGTCTCTCCTCTTTGGGAGACTTTCTGTCCTCCAAATCAGTTGGTCATATGCACTTCAGAGGCCCTGCAAGTAGCAGTGGCAAGGTCTGTTACTTGTCATTAACAGGAGCTTGTTTCTGAGAGGAAACGGTGATAAGAGAAGAACATATTTTCACCTTAATGCAAAGAATGTACCACTTGTACTGCCATTTATCAAAGCTGCCACAGAAGGAAAGAGTGGACAGAGCCAGCGGGCAGGGTATTCTTCTGTCTCGTTGCAGCGGTTGGAAGGCAGAGAAAAACAGGAGGGAGATACCATGAAGGCTGGAGGCAATCCACTGTTTTTCTTTTGCCCAGCACAGAAAGCAGAGGGGGAAAAATGCTAGCTTATGCCCCCTTTTCTGGTTTAAAAGAGGGAAGCCATGTGGGAGGGAATCTTCCAAAATACCTGGCAAAGTGCTCAGGTGTTAGTGAGATAGACGTTTAGAGAAAATGTTTTGGCAATGAGTCACTTTCATCCATTTTCAGTTATTAGCAGAATTTCATGCACTAGAAACTCCTAACTATGGCTCTTCTGTGCTATGTGTGGATATACACGCCATTTTCCCTTTCTGTCTATAACAAGGTTAATTGTCATGGGGAAGGCTAACAATTGTCTCTCAAGCTGGGAGTAGTTAAGATCCTGGCACAATATTTGCATCCCACTCTCTCTGCATCGGACAAGCTTTAAAAGCCTAACTTGTATAGCAGTTGACTATCCATTCCTTAGTCCGCATTGAAACTCCACTGAGCACAAAAAGCCAAGATTACAGGGAAAGGTGCTCTAGATGTAAACAGAGTGACAGTTTTCACTTAGCCATGAAACCTGCCTCTTCTGTATCTCAACTATTGGAGCCAAAGGCAAAGCAGCTGCTAGGAAAAGAGTGCTATTTTCTATTCCCATATGCAACTGAACAGTGTGGGTAGCTTTCGCCAAGAACCAGGACTTTGCTGAAACTGGACTGTTCAAATCCACATAAGACTTTATAATTCATTCTGCCAAAAATATTAATATTGTACCATGTTTCCCCGAACATAAGACAGGGTCTTATATTAATTTTTGCTCCAAAAAACAAACAAACAAACAAACAAAACGCATTAGGGCTTATTCTCAGGGGATGCTTCATATTTTTTTTCATGTACAACCATCTACATTGATTCAAATGAAGTCATGTCATATTCCGGTTGCTGCACAATGGTGGAGGGCAGGATTTCACTGAACTGGGGCTTATTTTTGGGGTAGGGCTTATATTACGAGCTTCCTGAAAAATCATACTAGGGCTTATTTTCAGGTTCGGTCTTATTTTCAGGAAAACAGGGTAGGTCTAGAGAAATTATGAAGTTTCTGATGGGGTGCCTGGTACTTTAGTTGATGGTTTAAAGAAGGCCATCTCAGAAGCCTACCAGGTAGCCAGATCTCCAGCTTTCCAATGAAAAGAGCAAGTTTCTGGCTTTTGTGGAAAGTGAGATACTAAAGTAGGCTTTTTTCCCTAGGGTTTTTACACTCTCTCTCTCTCTCTCTCTGTGTGTGTGGGTGTGTGTGTTTGTGTGTGTGTGTGTGTGTGTGTGTGTGTGTGTGTGTGTAAAATATTTGTTGTATTGTTTTTAGATTTTATGGTAACCACCTTAAAAGAAGTTAAAACATTTCAATATAAATAACTAAAATGACATTATCGTATGGGATCGTCAGATCTGCAGTATGTATGAAAGGTTCAGAGACCTTCTCTTTATGACAAGATACAGAGGTCCTCATTTGTCCTATGAACTTTTTCCACTCCTATGTCCAGTTACTGATTGGACCTACAAGGTCTGCTTGTAAGAGGGTATTCAAAGGCCACTGTTTGTTATGTTTTCAACTATGTCTATGGGTAGGTGGGCTTTGAATGCTCAATGAGAAAATGCCCAGACTAATTAAGAACTGTATCTGGTCACATCTGCTTTGCACTTGTCCCATCCACTGTTGGAATAAAGCCCCCCCCCCGGACCCTTCTACTCTTGGAATTTGGTCTTCTGGTCATAAAGACTTCCTGGCTCTGCTTTATCAAGTGATAAGTAGCTCTTGCTAAGTAGTTGCTTGAACTTAACTACCCTGTTTCTCAGAAAATATGACCTAACCTGAAAATAAGCCCTAGTATGATTTTTCAGGATGCTCATAATATAAGCCCTACCCAAAAAATAAGCCCTAGTTAAGTGAAACCCTTCCCTTCACCATTGTGCAACATTGTGCAGCAATCAGAAGATGACATAACTGTAAAATAAAACATCCCCTGAAAATAAGCCCTAATGCATTCTTTTGGAGCAAACATTAATATTAGACCCTGTCTTATTTTCGGGGAAACACGGTAGATCTAGGATAGTCTAATGCTTGCCATTTCTTTATTTATCTTTTCTCTTTTTTAGCATGATGGGAAGCCCTACTGTCACAAACCCTGTTATGCAACTCTGTTTGGACCAAAAGGTATGTTTCTCTTCCAGGTGGTTGGGAAGTTGCCGGTGCCAACATAATGGTGACTGTGTCAGTCCTTCTCTCTTTGATCCTCTTCTTTTGTGCTTATTTCTTATCAAAGCAACCAGTCCTGTGGTGATACTATATAACTTTACAGGCATTTCCGGGAGGATGCCTTATCTGCCTTTTCTCTGGTGACTGCTTTGATCCTCTTCTTTTGTGCTTATTTCTTATCAAAGGCAACCAGTCCTGTGGTGATATAACTTTACAGGCATTTCTGGTGGGCTGCCTTATCTGCCTTTTCTCTGGTGACTGCAGTGTGAGCTACTTTGGGTTACACCATAGAGACATGCAAGAACACTGTGACATGGCATGATTTGTCCCAGAGTGTATGTGTGTGTGTTTTTCAACAGTCATTGTTCTTCCTGCTTCTCTTTGTTGTTTTATACTCTCAATTCACATCTGACTTACAGTATGATAAGGTAAGTGAGATATTTAAGCAGTGGTTTTAGCAGTGCCATCCCCCAGTGGGTTTCTGTGGCTGAGCAGGAATTCAAACCTAGGTCTCCTAAGTCTCATTTAAACACTCTGTGCCAATATTTAGTCTTCCTCTGTGCAGTGGTGGACCAGATGATTTCCCATATCTCCCTGCTCTTCTGCCATTGCGAATTGAGGAGGAACAAATGATGCTGCCTGATACTGAGTTAGACCATCTAGCCCAGTGGTCCCCAACCTTGGGCCTCCAAATGTTCTTGGACTTCAACTCCCAGATATCCTGGCCAGCAGAGATGGTGGTGAAGGCTTCTGGAAGTTGTAGTCCAAGAACATCTGGATGCCTAAGGTTGGGGACCACTGATCTAGCCCATTAGTATCAACTGTGACTGGCAGCACCACGACAGTGTTTCAGGCAGAATTCTTTCCTAGCCCAACCTAGAGACTTTTGGCGTTCCATGGGAGTTTCCCATCCAGGTACTCATCAGGCCTGACCCTGCTTTACATCTGAAATCAAAGGAGGTGCATTCAAGGTGGTGTGGTGATAAAACTAAGAGTATAGAAGAGGAACGTACATGGAGAGGGGGCAGATAACGCCCTCTGTGTGCTGTATGTGTCAGGGACTCCCTGGTCAGGAAGAGCCTACACACAGTAAAGCTGGTTCCAGGGTTGCTCCTGCAGCTGATCTCTGAGTCAAGGAAGCTTCGCCCACCACATGCTTTCCTCCACTGGGGAGGATGTGTTGCTAGCAAAGCTGACTTCTTGCCCATGCTTGTGCCTAATTCTGAGGAGCTTCGAGCATCCTGATCATTCTCCCTTTGGGAAGATGTAGAGTAGGCAACAAAGCTCCCTGCTGTGGTCTCCAATCAATGATCAGATATAACAACAGCAATTCTCTCTGGGGAGCTAGTGCAGAAAAGGACAGAATCTCTGCTGCCACTGATTGGTGAAAACACGAAAATCCCAGCCCCTGGCCCCTTGCTCCATGTTCCAAATTGGTGGTGAAGTGAGGTGGGGATGGAATCCCCAGGAAATTAAATTTTGTAGAGAAGAGGCAGAGGCGTTCCAAATATGGTTGTTGTGGGTTTTTTGGGCTGTTTGGCCATGTTCTGGAGGTTTTTCTTCCTAACGTTTCACCAGTCTCTGTGGCCGGCATTTTCAGAGGACAGGAGCTAGAACTCTGTCTGTGTTCATAAGATGAATAATACTGATTAAGCTGAATTGGGAAGTTTATGACCCAGATGATGCCCACAGCTTGGAATAAAGGATATTATCTCTTACCATAATCACACACACCCTCGTCTTTGTTCTCCAAAGGACTTAACTTTGGGAGACAAAAGAATAGAGAAAGCCTTTAGCAGAACTGTTGTCTTCCCTCCCAGGGCCTTAATTGTATGTTAACATGCCTTATAATGCTGGGGCTTACAGTTGCTGCAGCGTTCAGAAATTAGAACCCAAGGAAGGCAGTGGCCAGATGATCTGTAGCATCACTAGAACATAATGGGAAGGAAAGATTTGAAACTGAGCACGTTTTTTCTGGTCACTGGAACCAGGGAAGATATCTGACAAATCTTAGACAGAAAGAAGACTAAATGATGAGCTTCACTGTTTAGTTCAAAAGCATGTAAAAATGTGAGTAGATAAATAGGTACCACCTCGGTGGGAAAATAAGGGCATTCTGTGTCTAGTCATGCTGGCCATGTGACCGCGGAAACTGTCTATGGACAAACGCTGGCTCTACGGCTTGGAGACAGGGATGAGCACTGCGCTTTAGAGTCAGATATGACTCAACTAAATGTCAAGGGGAACCTTTACCTTTACAGTGATATACAAAGTATGAGAAAATATGAGATTTTGTTGAGGATGGGACAACCCCTGAGAACTTTTGATTGCAAGACCCTCTGGTCTCTTCTTCTTTCTTTTCAGGTGTGAACATTGGAGGGGCAGGGTCCTACATCTATGATAAGCCCCAGACTGAAGGACAAGTGCCACCAGGCCCTATTGAGCATGTATCTAAAGTGGAAGAGAAGAAAGTGAGTTCTGCACCCAGGGGACCTAGCAAAGGTATGTCTTGTGAAGCACAGAGGCTGGAAATCTCCGTGGCAACTGAAATAGGCAATGGGGAAGGTTTCTGAGGGCCTTTGGGAAGGTGGGAGGAGACATTCTATGTACCTGTATTTTAATTTAAGGTTTCCTTTCATTACACTAGATTTTAGAATAGTTTTCAATTTAAAAACCACAGAAGCCCTGTTTCCAGTTCTCAGAGTTCTGCTTGGAAAATCTTCTCTGGCCCATTTATACAAACAGTAAGCTGCCCTGGTGTTCCTCTGAGAGATCCCTATTTAGTTTTCACATGACTACTACAGACCTGGATAAGGAATGTGTTTTCCAGCCTCATCAGTTCCTACAAAGGGAGCTTCTTAATGCTGGCAAAATTCTCTCCCCTTCCTCCTGCCCTCCGCCTCATAACATACCCCAGAGGCAGCAAAGGTAGGACACTGATGGGTCTGTCTCTTGTAACTCTACCTGTCATTTACTGGGTTTAGAGCTTGTTGCTTGATGGGGGGAATGAGTTCAAGGAACTCAGTGCTACAGTTCTTTGGGTGAGAACTGGGCATCTTGGAGAACTGAGGCCTGCCTATCTGTGTTTCAGCTTCCAGCATTACAACCTTCACTGGGGAGCCCAATGTCTGCCCACGTTGCTCTAAGAAAGTCTATTTTGGTGAGTATCATCTGGAACTACATCTAGTCCATCTTTCTCTCTCTGGAACAGAAGATCCTGTAGACTTGAGAAGCCACTGCCTGCTTTGGGCTTGCTGACTCCTAGAAGACAGCACTCTGGCAAGTTGGTAACAAACGTCCTCCATTTGGAAAAGTTGTATTCTGAGCTTTGAATAATTATGGAAATTGTTTATTATGACTTACAAACTACTTCTTGTGTTTCATCCATCATGCTTTTCCTAGGAACAACAAACTGCACAGGGCACTACAGCTTTGTTTTCTGATTCCTGGAAATGCTCCTGGGGAGCCTCCTTCTGACTATGCTTTAACCAGATTTTCCTCACATGCTTATTTTTGCCCGCATTAAGCCAGAAATATGGCTCAAAAAAAGAGAGGGAAAACCTGACTTACAGGATGATGAACCACGCGAAGCACCATTTTTTATTTGTAGAATCCTTCAGGCATTTGCTCTGCCTTGGATGTGGTCTGTCAGACCTTTTTAAGATCTTCCGTCTCGTGCTTTCTTCTAAGTCATAAGCTACGTTAATAGAAGTGATGACGGATTGATTTAGAAATTCTTGTGCTAGAAGGAAAAAAATTGATTCTTTCATGCTGCTGCTTGTCTGTTGTAGCTGAGAAGGTGACTTCACTGGGCAAGGACTGGCACCGCCCTTGCCTACGTTGCGAGCGCTGTGGGAAGACTCTAACTCCTGGAGGCCATGCTGAGGTAGGACTCCACAGGCTGAGTTGCAAACTCATCCAGTTTATGCAGATTTCTTGGGGTGAATTTGGTGGGGCTTTTGTGCAGTTGGGTCTTAGAAGAGGCAAAGCATGATCTAGAGCACTGGTTCCTAACCTTGGGTTACCCTCATTAATATTTGTACAGAAGAGGCAAAGCATGATCTAGAGCAGGAAAATATTTGAGTCTGATTCCCTCATTAATATTTGTAGTAAAATAAAGTACACAGTGACATTTCATAATCACTTATTAGTTCTTCCTTCCTTTTTTTCTGAATGATTAGTTGTTTTCTCCCTTAATAAACAAATAACTGTATTCTAGGATACCAGAAGAGCAGGGTATCTTATGAGAGGTCAATCAGTCTGCCATTGCTTCAAATGCATTTGCACAGACCTTGCTTGTGTGTTTTTGTACAAATGTTCACCCAAACCAGAACCTGCAAAATTACCCAAAAGAAAAATAAGTATAATGTTATTCTGAGGCTGTCCACAACTGAGCAGTAAAAGAATGATGATTTGAGTCACAAAAATAAAATATCATCCTATTAATGCTGCTCTGTTAGGGATGGCTCCAGCATGTCATTGTTCTTAAAAAGTAACTTTCCAGGCTTTTCCAACTGATTCACATTTGTGTAGAACATGTATGTGCCTTGTACACAAAAGGTTTTCTTACAGAGATTATTTCAGTGTGTATTTTTTCAATCTGTAGAATGTTTTAATGGGCACAACAATCATTAAATGCTTTCTGTGCAACAATAGTAGCAAGGTCATTAGTATCACATCATGTGAGACCATGGTTTCAGCAAAGAAGAAGAGGGAGAAGCAGCATCTACATATTAGAATACAATCAGAAGTTGGGGAGATGGTGTATCAGATAAAGACTTGCCTATTGACATGCTTCAGCTGAAAGAGATGGGCATGTACAAATGTTCACCCAAACCAGAACCTGCAAAATTATGTCTAAGAAAAATAAGTATAATGTTATTCTGAGGCTGTCCACAACTGAGCAGTAAAAGAATGACATGCTTCAGCTGAAAGAGATGGGCATAGAATGATTCCTGGAGCTGTGGTTTTGGACAGTTACTATTAAACCCAAAGGAAAATAAATAAATAAATAAAACAACCAAACCTTGTGGCAACTTAAAGACTAACTGTTATATTTTAATGGACAGCTCCACTTCTTCAGACATATGAGGCAAAATACAGAGTTTACACAGTAAAACATTCATGTCCAGCTTTAAGGTAAAGTGGTGGATGTTTGCATTTCACACGCGCAATAATTTAAGCGCTATTAAGAATATCGGGCAAAACCCAAAGGAAAATAAATAAATAAATAAAACGACCAAACCTTGTGGCAACTTAAAGACTAACTGTTATATTTTAATGGACAGCTCCACTTCTTCAGACATATGAGGCAAAATACAGAGTTTACACAGTAAAATATTCATGTCCAGCTTTAAGGTATAGTGGTGGATGTTTGCATTTCACACGTGCAATAATTTATGCGCTACGTTTTGGGGTTCTGTTCTTTTGAAGTTTGGTTTTGCAAACATTCCCACAAGAGACAGAAAACAAGGCAAGAGCAAAAAATGGGAGGAGAAGAGAGAAGTGGGGGGGCTGTGGTACCTTAAAGACCAACTGTAAGCAGTAACACAATTAAAGGAGATAAGCAGAGGAGCAATCTGTGTTAATACACAGAATATTAACAATTTTTATCTTAAAGCCTTGTAAGGAAAGATAAGTCTAGCATTCATGTCCAGCTTTAAGGTAAAGTGGTGGATGTTTGCATTTCACACGCGCAATAATTTAAGCGCTATGTTTTGGGGTTCTGTTCTTTTGAAGTTTAGTTTTGCAAACATTCTCACAAGAGACAGAAAACAAGGCAAGAGCAAAAAATGGGAGGAGAAGAGAGAAGTGGGGGGGCTGTGGTACCTTAAAGACCAACTGTAAGGAGTAACACAATTAAAGGAGATAAGCAGAGGAGCAATCTGTGTTAATACACAGAATATTAACAATTTTTATCTTAAAGCCTTGTAAGGAAAGATAAGTCTAGTAGTTTTTAAGGAAAATAACAGTAGATAATAGCATAATTACATTTGGTAATGATTGAAAAAACCATGACTGTTATTCAGTCCATTTATATGGGTGTCCAGGACAAACAGGATAATCTTCATGCAAAACGATTAATGGACATAAGTCAGACACCAGAAACTGCAATGCAAAGAGAGAAGGGGGGGCCTGTGGTACCTTAAAGACCAACTGTAAGCAGTAACACAATTAAAGGAGATAAGCAGAGGAGCAATCTGTGTTAATACACAGAATATTAACAATTTTTATCTTAAAGCCTTGTAAGGAAAGATAAGTCTAGTAGTTTTTAAGGAAAATAACAGTAGATAATAGCATAATTACATTTGGTAATGATTGAAAAAACCATGACTGTTATTCAGTCCATTTATATGGGTGTCCAGGACAAACAGGATAATCTTCATGCAAAATGATTAATGGACATAAGTCAGACACCAGAAACTGCAATGCATAGAAACCTGTCTCAAACCACTTTAATCTAACAGGGCACTTCACAGGATATGAAAGTTGCTATTCTGGAAAATAAACAGTACAAAACAAGAATATAGTGAGAAACAGTTGAGATAAAATTTGCATACATGATAGACATTCTATTAATGGATTGAATATCACTGCCATTCACACTGGTTGAAAACCAGGTCTGACAGTTGCTTTGTGTTTGGGTGAGAAGTGGTTAACTGATAAAAAATGGAGTCAGCTTCTGGAATTTTCCCTTTCATGCTGTCTCTTTGTGAATGGAAGTGAGCAGAAGAGGGTATCCTGTAGATCATCTTGACTGCTGCCTTTGGTGTTGTCAACATTCGGGCCATCTTTTGCTATGTAAAGTTTGACATCCTTTTTCCTGCTGGCAACCTGGGCAAGATGCCCACCAATCTTGAACGATTTCCTAACTCTTTGAATCATGGGTAAAGAAGCACAATATCTCACATTCATAAGCTGGAAGTTTTTTTGAAGAACTGAATTAGTATTAGCTGGTTGCTTTCTGTTTGGGTGAGAAGTGGTTAACTGATTAAAAATGGAGTCAGCTTCTGGAATTTTCCCTTTCATGCTCTCTCTTTGTGAATGGAAGTGAGCAGAAGAGGGTATCCTGTAGATCATCTTGACTGCTGCCTTTGGTGTTGTCAACATTCGGGCCATCTTTTGCTATGTAAAGTTTGACATCCTTTTTCCTGCTGGCAACCTGGGCAAGATGTCCACCAAACTTGAACGATTTCCTAACTTTTTGAATCATGGGTAAAGAAGCACAATATCTCACATTCATAAGCTGGAAGGTTTTTGTTTTTGAAGAACTGAATTAGTATTAGCCTGATCATATGTCTATTGCAGTGGCTTCTCAGCACTTATACGTATAGCTCAGAAGAGTGTCACATAATGTGCACTTCCTTTGTACATAGTATTTAATCGCTCTGTAGAAGAAATGTCAGATGAGAAATAGTCCTCAGAGGTCAGAAAGCACAACTGAGATAGAGCCTTGCTTGTCTGCAATTCTGGCCTGCCTGTTTAAGTGTTTGAAACGGAGCCCTGCTTAGCCAGAATCTTACTGCTTCTGCTGTTCCATCCGGGACTTGTTAGTTTTGGCAGTGATAACCTCCTTTGCTACTGCTCTGAAAAGCAAATAAGCAGCATTCTTCAGTGTCCACGTGGCAACTGTATGCCAGAGGAGCAAGTGAATAAGAGCAAAGATGCCCCCTAGTGTTGAGGGTGGGCTTAGCTTCTGCCATGCCACTGTTTCTTCGAGAAATATAGGATGCGGAATTTGCAACTTCATTCAAGCATAGTTATGCTTCTTCTTACCAAAAATGGAAGGACAGACAAAGTGCAAGAAGTTGCTGGGCTGCATCCAATCACCCTTACCCAACACAGCAGTTGATGAAGAAATCAGGGAGTTGCACTCCGGTAAGATTTGGAGGGCCATAGTTTACTTTATTCTGGATTAACGGCTCTGGCCTGTAGGGTCCAAAGCTGGATATCAGCCTTTCTCCTGAAAAAGCCACAACAGAGACAGATCTCAGTTATGGAACCATCAGAACCTTGTGTTGCAGTTGCCCTCAAGCACAAGACATCTGTAAAATGTTCCTGGCAGGAAGTCTTAGCATTTCAAGGTGATGAGTGTTGGATGAGCCAGGTCAGAAGCTCGTAGTTACTTGGAACACATCTACTGCTAGTAAATAGGAAAAAGATCCTGCATGTATCTTTGAGTAACTGGGAAGGCTTTCCAGTTGCCAACAGCAGATGTAGCTTGAAGCATAAACCTGATATGTTCCTCTTTGTTTTTCCCCTTCCAGCATGATGGCCAGCCTTACTGTCACAAACCATGCTATGGGATCCTCTTTGGACCAAAGGGTGAGTATGAAACAGATACAGATGGACACAAGGATTAGAAGAGACAAGTATTTTGTGGTTCAGAGATTAGGGGGAGGGTTTCCCTTGAGAATTCAACTGCAGAGTGAGAGGTAAACTATCTATTTTTATTTACTTATTGGATTTATAGACCACCCAACTAGAATGGCCAAACTGTTATTTATATGGCCCAGCTGCTCAGCTTGTAGTACTACACTCAAAAGCTTCAAGCAATACTGGATTGTAAAGCTGGAAACCTAGGTTAAGCCACGACATGTGAGACCCACAGACAAGTGTCCTGCCTTCTGGCAATATACGCCTCACAGGAGTTTTAGCCAATGATAGGGGCCATGGACCTTGCCCCAACTGCAACATATCTCTGGAGGGTCTTCTCTCCGTCTTGATTGCATGGCGGTGGGTGTCAGAAGCTGATGCTCAGCCAAATATAAGTTGGTGATGCCAGGTTTCAGGTGGACAGGCTTCATGGTCTTGGAACTGTATAGCAGACATGCAGCTTTAGTTTATTATTATAGAAGATATGCAGAGTGAGAGGAGGGATGCTTTAAGCACTCCAAGAGACAGACAAATCCACTTCATTCATATCGTATCTCCAAAGCTGGCTTCTCAAGTGTCATTTCCCTTGACATCATTCCTCCACTACAGAAGATTAGGGGAGTAGGGCAGAGGAATTGGTGGCACTACGGAATATTTCTTATCTATTCACATAGCACTGTCTTGCTGAACTGCTGCCGTGACATCAAGTACTGGCTCTTTTATTGTTGCTGCAATTATAAGAAATAGCTCCAAACAGCAACACACACCCCCATCAGAGTGTTTCCCTACTCTCCTGCTTCTTGTCACGACTGCTTCTGATCTGGTTTTCTACTGGCATTAAAAGCTAGCCAGGCACCTAGTAACTTAGGTTAACTGGTGATTGGGGTGGTATTAAAATGAAGAGACTGAGATTTTTGGAGCTAGTTATATGTTATTTGACACATTCCTTGGTTCTTACTGACACCACCCCACATCAGTTACAGTATACCTGTATCACTGTTGCATCAGTGATGTGCTGTGCAAAGTACAAGAAGACAGACTTTTCCCTGTGGAGTGTAAAATCTAAAGTTGGGCACATTTGAGGATGGCAGTAAATCGAACGTTGAAGCTGTGTGCACTTTGGAGTGGAAAGAAACAAGAGAAAAAAGGTGGGAAAACAGTTTCCAGGAAGCTACTGAACCCTGGAAGGAGCAAGAGAGAAGGCAAGAGGAAAGCAGAGCCTCTACAGTGTTCTGCTAAAGAAGACAAGATAACAATAGAGCCCGAAGCCGTGCATGGGGAAGTCCATGCAAAGAAAGGAAGAATGTGAGCGAGGGTGCCGTCAGATGGCCAGAAATATTTGCATCTGCTTGCACTGGAAAGGGTCAGTTTGCTGAGAGCAAAATCCCTTAAAGCAGGAACTTGGCCTCCATAGCTTTATAGGTCCATTACAACGCCGTCATTCCATGATTCTGTGATCCTCCTTTCTCTTCCCACCATTGCTCACCTGGCCGTTCTGCCTTCGTTCTTCCCCACTGATCCTTTTTCCCCCTCTTTTTTCTCCAGGAGTGAACACTGGTGCAGTTGGAAGCTATATCTACGATAAAGACTCTGAGGCAAAAGACCAACCTTGAGGGTGTTCTCTTCCAACCACCCCACCTGCCCAGCCCACTTGCACTGCATTCTCTCGACTAACCACCTTGTGTGTTGTTTAGATATAGTGAAGCCAGCTGCTGGCTTGGCCCTGTGGGAGCAGTTGATGAGTAGCTGCACTTGTTTTGCTGTTTCCCCCCTGGACAGGTTGACATTCTTCCTCCCTCCCTCCATTTTATAATGGCTGTGAAAGCACACACAGAGCTGCTTCACTCCCACGGGTTACTCTTTCTGTTTCGTCCCTTGAGCCCAGTGTATTCTGGACAAATGGATCCGCTGCCCTTGTCTACGATCCGTTCCTGTCACACCGTGTCCCCAAGACGTCTCACAACCGCCTGCAGCTCTGGCTGTATTTATATCCATAGTCCCATCTATAGTCTTTTCATTACATAAGATTGTATACCACACCTCATGGAGTTATTTTCCCTAGGAGCAAATCTCAGCAGCAGGCTCTTCCAGGCATACTAAATGCCTGTATTTGTTAGGAATTTTTTTTGGAAGTTATGAGTCTTGCTAATACTATTCTAGAGTAAGGCCACTGTCATGACTTGAGTGAGGAGGGAAGGGCAGTTTCTCTGGGCACCTACAGCTTTCTAATACCAACACAATGGAAGAACTGTGGAGGCTACTTTCTGGCGGGAAACGTTGTTCTTTGTTGTCACAGTCAAATAGCCTTCATTATGAAATGTGGGGGGTAGAGATTTGTAAGGGTGTGGGTGTGGGTCTGCATCCAAGTGCACCTGCATTGTGGTGTAGCTTCAGTTACAAAGGAACCAGTTTTGGGGTTTGATTCCCTACATGCTTGAGGTGTATTTATAACCTGAATATAATGTGCTTGTGGCTTTGGAGAATGGTGTGTCTTTCCGGTGTTTCCAGCTTTGGCTGCCCTGAGATGTTAGCCCAAAGGCAAGAGGCACAATCAGCAGCGATCAGGATCTGAGGCAGCACTCGTTAACTATTTGGCAAAGCTTGCATCTTAAACTGCAGACCAGCTTCTACAACTCAGCCTACCTTTTTTTCAGTTAATAAAGGTATTTGATAAACAGCTGATGGTGTGTGAGTGGAATAATTGTTCAGGGAAAGGAAACTGACAAATCTTCTGTACTTATATTGAGAGAGCCGTGTACCCTCAGAACTGTGGGTGGTGGTCTTGCTTTGATACTTCTTAATGTTGTATACAGACAGCTCAGAAAACTGTTACTTCATGAAGGTCTCCCTTCCCTCCAACTGGTGGCAGCGCCTATGCCGGTGAACAGACTCGTGAATGTTGTCTTCTGATCTCTCCCCCACATATTGAGGTCTTGAGGGTGGGTGGTTCCTCCATTAGCGGTTTGGGTCACTCCCTCTCATTTGGGGGGACAACCCTCACCGCAAAGAGCGAGGTCCGCAGCTTGGGGATACACCTGGACCCGGCGCTTACCATGGAAACCCAGGTGGCGTCCGTGGCCCGCTCCACCTACTTTCATCTATGGCGGATTGCCCAGCTGCGACTGTACCTTGATGGGGGGGGGCTGACCACTCTAGTCCATGCACTCGTAATCTCGAGATGAGACCATTGTAACACACTCTACATGGGGCTGCCTTTGAGATTGATGCGGAAACTTCAAATGGTGCAGAATGCAGCAGCCAGGCTTCTTAGTGGGGTGAGGAAATATCAGCATATCTCCCCCACTCTGGCTGCTTTGCATTGGCTGACCATTCGTTTCCACATTGACTTCAAAGTGCTAATGATGACGTACAAAGCCCTAAATGGTTTGGGACCTCGATACTTAGCAGATCGTCTTCTCCCACCTAGTTCTACCCGAATCACCCGACATAGCCAGCAGGGACGACTGAGGGGCCTAATGCCGAGAGAGGCCTGGAAAGAAAGAGCAAGAAGCCGGGCCTTCTCGGCAGTGGCCCCTCGGCTTTGGAACAACCTCCCAACAGAAATTCATCTGGCACCCTCACTGGGTGTTTTTAAAAGCCATTTAAAAACCTGGCTCTTTAGGCAGGCCCTCCCTCCAGTCAATTAACTGATCTTTACTCCTTTTCTTTTTCTTTAATCACCCCATCTTGGCAAGGATATATATAATTGTTAAAATTGTTTTAAATGTTTTATGATGATGTATCTGTGATGATTTATTATGTATGTAGGCTGCCCGAGTACACTTTGTCTGGGGGGGGGGCGGGGTAAAAATCTAATAAAAGTAAAAGTAAAAAAAAGTAAATGCACGGAAGGATATGTGCATGTGTGTGCCTGCACATACATACATACTCCCTCCCTCCTTCACCAGTTTAGCACATGGATTATAATAGGGCCTTTCCACCTAGCCCCAAGTTTGGCAAGGAGAAACATAGTTTCAGCAGTTAAGACGCAAGGTGTCTCTCCCTGTGTGTCACCCTTTAGGTTATCCTGAAGTAAGCCTTACCCTTTAAATTGTGGTCCTGACAGCCTGTACAAGGCCAACAGGAACCCTGAGCTGTCTCCTCTTAGGCTCACTCTTCTTCAATTGTATTGTAGCAGCTAACATTTACCCAATGATGTACAGTAGCAGCGACAGCTTGGATCACAAAGCAACCCACAGAAAAGTCCTGCAAGGACTGGATGTGGCCTATGTGACATTTCCCCCAACAGGAATCTTCAGGAATATGGTCTCATCCACAGGGTGACTGTACTTTTGCAACCCTTTAGAAACAAACTTAACTGGAATTGGTCCAGTCAGCTCTTCTGCCCCTGCCCTCTCCCAAACTCAACTCAGCCCCTAAATCCTCCTCCCAAATAGTTAATGGAAGGGCTGTGCTTTTGGAGTCACAAGGCTTCGGACTGTACACCTAGCACCCACTTGTGTGTGGTTCCCAATCCCAACAAGAGGAGAAGAGGGGGAATGAAAGGAATACATGATGACAGGGACATGATAGACACCACAGTTTAAAAAAGGGGAAACTGTTCTGGACAGAGTGTTTCAAGACAGGGCAGTTCTTTGCTCCTCATCACTGCCAGTGCCCCCCAAACACGAGGGGTGTGCAGAACAGAGCAGTGGTCCCTGTCTTTACAGCACAACAGCAATGGAGACACTTCCTTGGCCTGAAGGCCATGTGGGTTTGGGGCAAAGCATGTCAAGGGCTGAGTGCCATCTGCTGCAGCCCCATCTCACCATATAATAGTTGGACCCTTTTAAGATTCCGCCTCTGCCCCACATTCCCTTACTCACTGCCATGAGATATTTAAAAAGCTTCTGTTGACACCAGGGGAGGCTTTTTTAAAAACAGACCCTCATTGCGGCATGAAAGGACAATGTTTGGGAAGCTTAGCTCTTCCCTCCCCAACAGCATCACTGTTCACACACATTGCAGTTACATTTTTAAAAGTCTACTTTGCTATTAGGAAGGGGGATTCTGGGGAGAATTTCACAGCTTTGGGGAACTCAATCATTTCTCCTCCCCCAGCAGAGCCCCCTGCCGAACATCCCCCCCCCGCTGTTATTAGGCTGTTAAAAGTCTCAGCACCAAAAGGGGTGGAGAAGGGAAAAAATAGCTTCTGCTTTCATGCATGTGAAATGCTATACCTATTTTGAACCCACTACATAAAGGATGAACCCACAACTAAAGGATTAAGGGAAAAACGTTGTCCCAGAATTGCTAGTGTGTACATTTCTCCCTTTCTGCTCAACCTTTCTGCTCTGGCATCTGCTCCCCTACATGCCACTACCTTCCATGCTTGTTCAAGCTAACTCTTATTTGGTAGCCTTTTTGCTCACACCGCTTAGAAGAGTCTACGATGCCCTAGGCCAGTGGCTCCCAACCTTGGGCCCCCAGATGTTCTTGGCCTATAATCCCAGCACAACCTCCGGGTGTTTCAATCCAAAACATCTGGGGACCCGAGGCTGGGAATCACTGTGGCAGACAAACCTTGCCATCCTTTCTAGGACCATGGTGTTATAGCAGAGGCACTGGCGGCCTGCGGATCCTTCGGTCCAGATGTCGTTCCCCCCCAAAAAACCCTCTAGTCTCTCTTTCTAAAATACTGTCTTTGGAAACAAGTGTAGGGCCTCTTTGCATCTTAATTGCCATGCTAGTGGATTAGTTCTTCCTAGAGCATATAATTTTTGTATTGTGTTTCAGCTCAGGGCAGGGGGGGGGGGACGGACACCAGCTGCCATTGAGCCAGCTGGGGATGCTGGCTGCAGAATGGTTGCCAGCCAGCTGGCTCTTCTGGGCTGGCAGTTGTGGCTGCTCTGCAGTCCAGCACAGAAACCCATCACTGGCACACCTGCCCTTTTCTTTTGGAACGGCCGCCTTCCCCACAGCAACGGCATCGCCTTTTTGGCTCCTCTTTTCTGTCCAGGGCACCTGATTACTAATGGACGTGTGAATTCTTCTGTTATTGCTACAACTGTACTTTTTTGGTCATACTCTCAAGGTCTAAATGATATCGTTTTTTGATGCTTCCCAGCTATTTAATGTACCTTTTTATTATTATCTTTGTGTTCATAACCATAGTATTTCCTTCATCCAGATTAGTGGACTAATCGTCATCCTTTTGCTTGTTAAAGCTACAGTATTTTTTCCTAGCCAAAATCTTGAGACGCACCGTCCAGAATCATTTACAGAGACATTATCAGTCCCACTGCCCAAGCAGCAATTTTATTTTTTTTTAAAAAGAAAATTTATTTGAGACAGTAGGATTAGATGGAGACACTACACAACATAAGGTAATCACAGTATGATGCACATTTCCGGTGGAGCAAAAACATGGCTCATTGCAGGCAATGTTCATTCTAAGCTGCACATGTGCACACTCGACAGCCGGTTTGTTTACTTCCCTTTTTGAATGAAGTCCTGCCCAGCCCCGTGAACATGGAGCACGGCTCCCGCACAGCGGGACAGAAATTTAGAGAGAACATCGATTGTAGGTCACGGATCCTCTGCATTTTAAACTTTGTTTCTCCTCCAAATCACTATCAAATTACCAGTCCATCACAACTCTAGTGTTTCACATCACCACTATGGTGCATAAACTGGGTCTGGGGAAATAAATTTCTAAGAAGTCACATGATTTCTATGTGGCATTTTTGCTCCAAACCGCTAAACAACAATTTTCGAAGAGGTAGCTGTGTTAGACCGTCCTGGCATATGTCCAGGCAGAAACAAAGCAAAAATAAAAAAGAAGACAAAATAAAAAATAAAGAAGACAAAAACATTGTGGCAGCTTAAAGACTAACTCCTATATTTTAATGTGAGCTTTCATGGACAAGTACCAAAATATTTAAAAATAAATATTGGTATATATTCGCCATGTAGTCCCACTCTTATGTCTGAGTTGGTCTTTCAGGTGCACAACGTTTTTGTCTTCATTTTTTATTTTTGCCTAAATAGTAATCATGTACCATTGAGTCAATTCTGACTTATGGCAACACTTTCCAGTGTTTTCTAGGTAGAGAATACACAGACATTGTTTACGATGCCCTCCTACTGAGGACATTCTGAGACTCTACAGCTTGCTAAAGGTGACACAGACTGGCTCCTCTGACAAGCACAGTGGGAAGCTGAACTCCCAACCTCTGGCTCTGTAGCCAGATGCCTAAATCACTGATCTATCCAGCCAGCATCCAAACTACAGTGGTGCCCCGCATGATGACAATCCGTTCCATAGAAATTGCTGTTTAGCAAAATCATCGTCATACGAAATCCAATACCTCGTCCTGCGAATATCGCCCATGGGGGAGCCATTTTGCGAGTGCTGATCAGCTGTTAAAATGGCTGTCCTGTGAAGCATGGGTCCTGAAAACACAGGGAAGCCATTTGCGGAGCCACTGATCAGCTGTAAAAATCGTCGTCTTGCGAACAAAGAGTCCGCGAAGCACGGACCAAATCATTGTCCAGCGAAAATCCCCCATTGGAATGACTGTTTTGCAAATCGCTATAGCGATCACAAAACCTCATTGTCATGCGGATTCGTCATTTTACAAGGTCATCGTCTAGCGAGGTACCACTGCACTACCAAATTCCAAATCCCCTCTGAGACAACTGTAACATGAAATAATGTCTCTGGTATTACCATGATA